TGTAACTCCCATTTAGGTCTGAGCCTAATTTTTACCCAAAATTTGATTAATTAAATATGAGTTACATGTTACAAAAAATAGATCACAGCAAAATTCTTTCGAATAAGAATCCGACAACATACTTTTTGTGACATATAACTCATATTTTGTAAGTCAACTTTTGTTTCAAAATTCAAGGTAGTGGACTAATAAACCTTGTCATAGTGGGACTCAAGTTTGAATGGTGAATGGTTGAGTTTTTTTTTTTTTTTGAAATTTCAACGTACATTGATCAGTTGATTGATATCCTACTCCCTATGTCCGGGTTTATTAGCCCCTCACATTTTGAACCAAGATTTGACAATACATTTTGTGTAATAAATATTAGTTATATGTAGAAAAAAGGATACCATTGAGAACTTCATTTGAATATGAATCCAAGAAAATAACTTTTATGACGCACCACTCATATTTTGCAAACCAAATCTACGTAAATACAAGTGAGTCTAATAAAATCCAAAAACCGGGGTAGTCGTAGATCTAACGGTGTATACACAGTGAATGATGGCTCTAAAATCAATGCTGTCATTCACACCAATGTCTTGTCATTGATGTATATACACTCACTTCAACTCAAAGGTTAATCACCAACAGATACTGGCTAGTCCTGACCCACATCCATGGACCAAATTTCTACTACATACGATCACGACGGGGTAACAACTAGCATGCTTTGCGTCCATCGCAGCCTTCCTGTTCTGTTGGCTAGCGTCTTCTTTTCTGCAAGTGCATATATACTGGAGTAGAGTAGAGAAAAAGTAGGAAACACGGCTAATGGGAGAAGGCTGAAAGGCCCATACGGTAGAGAACCACAAATCAATGGCTCTACGGAAGGGAATGGGCACGCCTGCAGTGCACTGCACCTCCCCCATTATGCTTTTTTGGAAGAAAAAAAAACATAATGGGGAGGTGCAGTGCAAGCTCCCCCATTATGTGGTACGGAGTAGTATTTAGGCTCTCAATTATCAGCATAGATGGTACCACAAAAGGGTATGGTGTCAAAATAGTACAAGTACAAGTACATGTACAACTTGCAGCTGCTTGGGGCTAGCTGGTGAGTAGAACTAATCTTGGCGCTTGTGCAAAACAAAACAAACGTAGTACAACTAAATACTGGCATATGAACTATATTTGGTTAGGATGAGATTGCCAAAGACAGATAATAATGGGCTATACTGCTATAGCTTGTGACGTGCATGCAGCTTGCAAGAAAACGCAGGTTGACATTCAATTCTCAGTTTCCCGTACGAAATGCGGATCAATGTCGAAATCAGAAGTAGAAGCCCAAGAAAACAGAGTTAAACCCTAAGGTGCAGCTAAGGTTAATGCAGATCTAGCCATGAACCTTGCGGGATGCAGGCAATCTGGTAAAAAGGGCGTACACATTCTCTCTGATCAGTACGGTGGCGGCGGCGGTGGCGGTTGGTGCGGCGCGCGAGCAGCAAGCGGCCACATCACTTCTTGCGGCTGCGGGTGGCAGGCATAGACGGGCACGCCACAAGGTTCCACCGACTGTGCTGCCGACGGGGTCACGTGCCGCCGTTGGTGACGCTGCTCTTGCGACTCCGGCTGGTGCTGACGGGCGCGGTGTTCGTCCGCCTCCGCGCTGCCGGAGAGCGACACGGAGACGGGCATCGGCGCGTCGTCGTCGGCGGGGAGGCGGTGGAAGGTGGGGTTCGTGAAGGCGGCGGCGACGACGACGATTGTTGTCGCGGCGTAGAGCGGGCCCACAACTGCGCCGCCGACGATCTGGCCGTGCGGGCCGGCGAGCGAGATGGAGAGCCCGGCAGCGACGGCCGCGGCCTGGGGCGCCACGGCGGCCATGGCCGGGGGCAGGAAGGTGGCGGAGATGGAGAGGATCTCGAACCGGCCCTGGAAGACGACGACGGCCGGGGCAGCACCGGGCGCCGTGGGGCAGGGGTGGCGGAGCGAGACGTTGCCGACGGCGCCGGTGCCGGCGAGCACGCAGATCCCCAGGTTGCGGCGGCTCGCGAAGCGCGCCAGCGCCTCAGCGACGTCGCGGCCCCCGGGGATCTCGATCACGTGCGGCCGCATCGCCGCCGCGGGCTCCGCCTCCCGCGTGATCACCACGGGCGGCTTCGGCTTGTTCTTGGACCCCGGCGGCCTCCCCCTCCGCTTCTTGGCCACCTCGATGCTCGACCCGTCGCCAACGCCGCCGCCTGAAACGAGCTGGGAGCCGGCCGCACTGCCCCCAGGCTCCTTCATCTCGGCGGTACCCCGGCTGTCCACCTCATCAGAGAAGCACTCCAGCTGCTGCTGGTGGTGGTCACCGTGGCCGGCATGGCGGTGGTGCATCGGCGGCGGCGTCGCAAACCGTGTGGCCGGCGCGTCCTTGCGCTCCTGGTACATGCCCTCCTTGCTCATGTCCGGCTTGCCAAAGGACATGGAGGGAGGGAGCTCACTTGGTCGCGAATGATGAGCGTAGCAGTAGAAGCTAGCAAGATGCGGCCGTTGGAGGGAGCAAGGGGTCACGAGGAAGTTGGGCGCGGCAAGCCGGCAAGTGGCGACGCTAGTCGTGGGCGTTCTCTGGTCTGGAGCTGGGAACGGGATGGAGCTAGCGGTCGTCGATAAGAAAGTGATATGGGGGTGGTGGGCGCGGAGAAGAGATCAAAGGTAGCAGGCAGGCTGGCTAGCTAGCTGCAGTAGGAACAGGACAGGATGAGCCTGCCCTGAGCAGCGGAGGCGGTGCCACACTGCCACCGTTGGCGAGATGGACTGGGACTCTGTGAGTCAACCCGGCAATCCAACCCATGGGCGGCCGCGCCCATGGGCACCCGACCCGAATGGGTAGGGTATGGATCGTCATCCTCATCCATGGGTAAGCCCGATGGGTAACCCGATTAGTCGTGGGTAGGGTACGGGCATAAGGTCTTGTTCGTGGGTCACCCAATGGGTCGCCCGATTATCTGACATGTGGGCCCTTCGGTGCACAAAATACACTAACCCCTATCATCCAACAGCCATCTATGCTGAAAAAACACTAATAAGAAGCACCACACCACGACCACAAAGATCACATTCACCGATATGAAAGTCCCTCTCCCCCCGCTCAAGGCCTTTGCTCAATTACTTGTTTGGCCCAAGGCCTCATGCAGCTAAAGGTCCGCTCCCTCAAGTCCGTATATTGTGTTAAATTTTCAGCCCAACTTGCAATATGCAGCCCATGCAGCTAAAGGTTGGTGCTCACGCAAAGGAACAGACTTGTTTAGTCCCACCTCGCGCAGAGAAGAAGAAGGAACCAGCTTGCTAGCTATATAAGAAGGTGTGACCTTTGCAGCTCTTCCTCACAGGTCGTAGCTGCCAGATGGGCGCACGTACGACAAGACATGTACTATTTTTGAACTATAAAAATAAAAATAAATATTTATTTCAAACCCGATGGGCGCCCTAAAGTTGGGTCATCCATGGGGTTCGGGCGTGGGTCTGCTTGTATACCCATGGGTAGGGTCGTGGGCAAAGGGTGGTAGAGGGTCGGGCGTGGGTCTGCTTGTATACCCATGGGTAGGGTCGTGGGCAAAGGGTGGTAGAGGTCGACCCGGTGAAACCCAACCCGACTGCCAGGTTGATCTGTGAGGGTGTTCCCTTTTATCCTTTTGTCTTTTTCACGCCTGTGTTCAATTTTTTCCGTTAAATAATAAATGTCATAACACGAAGCACTTCGGACATGAGATTTTTTACAATCATCAAAGTTGTCATACGAAAATAAAAAAACAAACCCAAGAAAAAACTGAAACTTGTCACAGGATTGACATGCTTTACAATTAAAGTTGGCATCCTCCTGAAACGTTCAGAGTTGTCAGTGTGACGCTTATCATGATCTTTTTTTTGGTGTCCCGGTCCACTGCCTAGCCCGAGAAGAGCAAGGCCAAACCATAGACTATCACAAGTTGAATTCGCAGTGAAAAAAATGGTGGCTAATTTGTTGATATACTTCTCCTTCGTCTGAAAATGAATCAGACATGGAAATCAGGTGCGATTTTGTAGCTAGCTATTTTAGTCTTCCCTGTTTATACGAGTATATGTTCTCCATGGTGATATATAGAGTATTTGATTCAGAACCCAGGGTTATTCTCCTTGAAAAATTATATTTGTTATTTCCTCTGTATCTAAATATATGACGGTTGTGCAGTTAAAATGCCTTATATTTAGATACAGATGGAGTATAGATTAAATCTGACACAGAGGCAAGTCAAGTCGGGCAATGCATGCAAACTCTCTTGCGGTCATGCTGGAAAGTGAAATGCGGTGCAAACCAATATAGGCGTTGGTATATATCAACCGGTTTGTTAATGGATGGTTAATTCATGCATACACACATACATATATCTCTTGTCTTGGATCATGAGTACTTCCAAATGTCATCCATACCCATATTAACCGTCAATGGTTGTTGCGGCGTCATTGTCTTGGACGTTGTTGCTCAGCCGGTTACGACGTCCTCTTCGGACACCATGGACGACGGCTAGACCCCCACCATGAAGCCCTGGTCTGCACCCATTTGCATTTGCATCATCTGCTGTTGTTGGTAGGACAACATTGGGTTGCCGCCCGTCATCAGGTGGTGGTTCTCAAGGTAGTGGTTGTTCACCATGGGGAGCACCAAGCTGCCCGTCATCGACGAGCCGGCTCTGGCGGCGTGCAAATGGTACGAAGAAGCTTCAGACAAAAACAGCGGAGGCGCCAGCGACAACGATGCGCCATAGTCCATGGGAGGCGGAAATGTACTAGAGTTGAGGGAGCTTTGTTGCGGCTCTCCTCCCATCGATATGGGCATGTGCATGGCGTACGACGGGGTCACCACCTTCTTGACTCCAGTGTTCTTATGGAAGATTTTGCAAACCACACGCTCCTTCTACCAACATACATAAATTAAATCGGTGCAAATCAACGATGGCCAGTAGCTAGGTACATATAGGCGTGTTTATGATTCATATGCACTACTACTCTAGGTTTAAATACCTTGAAGGATGCATTAATGGCGGCAGCTTTGGGATGGCGGTTGATGGGCCGGATGCAGGCTGCTTGCTGATCTCAAGCCTGTACTCGTGCATGACCCAGTTGGTCTTCTCCCCCCTAGGCGCCCTGCCCTTGTAGAACACGAGTGTCTTCTTCATGCCGATGAGAGTGGGCGTTGGGTGGAAGATCTCCTTGTCCTTGCCCGTGGCCTTCCAGTAGCCGGCTTTCGTGGCCCGGTTGGTCCGTATCCCCATGAGATACTTGCGGTCCTTCTGACAGTAGAAGTACCACTCCTTCTCCCCCATCTTTGCCTTCTTGGGAAGCTCATATGGCTCGTTCTTATTCAGATCTACCTCCCCGATCGCTATCGCGATGAAGGTTGGGTTGAGCACCTTGGGGACCGGGTACGAGGTGATGATATCCTCCTCGGTAGGGTGGAACCTGAACCCCGAAGGGAGCTCTAGTGTTGGTGCTGTTGTTGAACTTGAAGGTGGTCTTTCATGGAGAAGGCTCTCTGGGCAATGGTTTATGGGGTGGCACAAATATGGGAGGCGATCATAGAGATGTAAGCAACTATGGAAGGAATACAATGAGCTTGGGATACAGGAGGAGGCGCTTAAATATGAGAGAATGCGTGTATCGGCAAGACACTTGCCATAGAAGCCTTAACACTTTATGACCTTGGTTTAATTTGGTTCCTACTGTCAGTGGATGGATAGAGATAGCTTCCTGTCTTCTTTACAACTTGGCTCCCCTTATCCTACTATGGGGGCCACGCCCTGGTTGTGACAGGTGATCAGTTTCTCGAACCTCTCCAAGCCATTTCCATGCCAGGTTGCACACTCAGTTTTGTTCTTATTCTTTTTAACGTGTGCATATGTTGTACTCATGCTACCTACCCGATAGTCCCATATGCATGCTTATGTTGTTGTTGCCTTGCCTTGTGATGCATAAGCAAACACACACCCACATTTGTCTCACCAACTATGTGCACAATATATAGCTAGCAACGTTGTTGTTTTCTATGACATTTGATCAATCGATATAAATCTACCTATATGTACTACACATTCATTTTTTGCGGGGATGTACTATACATTCCACCCCCATGCATTTGCCATATACTATAACCGACCCCTTGTGGGTTTACACAAAAAACCGTGTGTGCATTTCAAAGTCTTCGGCCTCTAGATGAACTAGATGACCCGTTGCGCCAATTGGCACAAAGACCAACTACAACCTAGAAGTTAAGCAAACTATTTGAAGGATTTTTTCCTCAACTGTCTACAAATGATTATGTTCATACCATTTGAAGGAGTTTTCGCCTCAGCTTTCTACAAATGATTAACAAATGCAATTTAATTATCTTCATACTATGTGTGTATTCAACTTGATGATGAACAATGCCCATAGCTATTTTCAGCGACACATAATTCGTTTGGTTGAGTAGGTGAATGGACTTTGAGATTTTTTTAATGTTCCGGCCTTTCCTCATCTCGTAATTGCGATGGAAAGAAAACACCGAGAAATTAAATGAAACATTTGAAGGATGTTGTGGTGAATTCCTTGTGAGTGATTATATTTGTACTGCATTGTAATTTCCTTGTATACTTACCAATGACAGAAAACGATGATCATTGCCCATGTGCTTCATTAACCGGCCAAGGCAACCCAACGGCCAGATCAATAGAAAGCCCGACCACAACCCACAGGGAAAATGACCCAAACCATCGC